TTTTCTTACTATTTTAAAATTCTAAAATGCAGCAAGGCCCAGGATGGCAAGTCTTTTCTATGGTAAAGAGAAACCAGCAGGGCCTTTTAGGGTGAGCACTATGGCTAGTACTACTACTAAAACCACAACTAGTTGTAGGAGTAATCCAATAAGTAGGGGAAAGCGTGTTTTGCCCCCGGCCTCTTCCTCTAACACAAGCAGGCCCGAGTCGTGTTGCTAAGAAGCTTCCTTCTTGTACACGGAGGCGGTTTCCTTATCCCCCCTCCCAAGACCACCAGTGCTGAGCCTGCTTCTACCACTGACAGTGGCACATCATCACAGGAGTTGTTGCCATTGCCAATGCTACCCCCTGCTCCTAGTCTTATTATTCCTGGAGGTGATATCAGTCTTATTCCCAGCCTTGCAGTGATTGCATTTAGTCTGGCTGATGAAGAGCTTGACTATGAGTCTGAGAGTGAGGAGGAGATAGTAGAGGAGAGTCAGAATTCTTCAGGGAGCAGTCCACCATTTTCTCCTGCTACTACTGCACATTTTTCACCTTCCTCTCCACTTTCTCCAATAGTAGCACCTGCTAGTGCTAATTCAACCATTAGTAGACCACCACAATCAATTACCACTACTATTTCCAGATCCACTGTTCCTCCTCACAGTGGCACAGATACCACCACCAGTGTAACTGTGCCAACAATCACCACCACCACTGGTACTACTAGCCACAGTAACAGTGCAGAGGCTACTGTGCCAGCTCCCAGTAGTCGCACTCCTGCTGCTGCTCATCAACCTGCAGCATTAGCAGCAACATCCAGGTGGGTAAATGCCAATGTCTTGCGCCGCAGCAAAGTTTAGGATCATTTTGAAAGTGTTGGAGATGGGCGCTTTGCAAGTGCAAACTTTGTGGGAAGGAAGTAGCAGGGGGAGAGTGTTGGATCATCTCACCAGTGCTGGGATGAACCATTATCTCTGCAGCCATCACAAGGCTGTGTTATTTGAGGGAAGAATAAAAAAGTTCTAGGTCAGGCAGCATAGCTGCTACTATTACAACTTCCAGTATCATGGCAGCTAGGAGTGACAGGGGAGGTGTTGCAGAGCTAAGAGCTACTGGTACTGCCAGCCAACAACCAAGGCTGGTTGGAGTATTACAATGAGTTTTGCCCAACCTGGAACAATATGGGGGATTCTACTCCAGGGCTATATTAAAATAGCAAACCGATAAAATCATGTAACTTACTGACCAGTTAATTGCTGTTGGGGGCACTTCTTTTTCAATGATAGAAGGAGAGGCTTTCAAACAGATGTTGGAGTAGTGAAAAGGGAGCTTTAGAAGGCTGCTGGTCAGTCTGTACATTTTACTACAGATTTGTGGAGAGCACCAAGTAGCCAGCATGCCTTTCTTTCCTTGACAGCACACTGGTGGGAGCCCGGTGTGTCTCAGGAAGCTACTTCTGTAACGTCAACAGCAGCAGGGTCTGGAAAAAAGGGAGGAAGTTTATCTGTAGGTGCCAGAACTGAACTGTCGGCTTCTCGCTATGCCGACACTTCCGGGTTGACAGAACAACAACACGCCCCCCTTCTCTGACGCGGCTTCCTCGCGCTACATAGGGGAACCGCGCCAATTTCAAAGTGCTTGGTTATTTTGAAGCTTCCAAGATCTTCTGACCGGCTACAAACAATTCTCTAGTTAAACTTCTCTACACGTGTACCGAACCTGGACTGTTAAACTGCTGATCTCCATTCTCCTTCCCTTGACCTCGGACTAGCTTTGATATAGTTCTTACTTCCTCTAGTCGGATTACAAACCTTCAAAGGAAACGGCAAGTTATATAAATTGGATTGTATCATTCTTCTGGCATTTCAATACTATTGCAAATCTATTTCCTCACCTCCTGAGTTCAACTAATGAAATATCTAATCTTTGATATTCCATCTATAAACAGGTCTTCGCTTACCTAAACCATCTGCTTCTACCTTCATATCGTAATCCTTAAAGCTACAGGAACTCATCTCAACAAACTATCCTCATATTGTATTCCTTAAAGCTACAGGAACTCTTCTCAACAAACTATCGTCATATTGTATTCCTTAAAGCTACAGGAACTCTTCTCAACAAACTATCTTCAGATTGTATTCCTTAAAGCTACAGGAACGCTTCTCAACAAACTATCTTCATATTGTATCCACTTTCAAATCTAATTCTTATTCTGATCATCCTCTAAGGTTTGTCCTATTAACAATTTCTGCAGTTGAGTTCCACTCCAAATCCATAGGTAGCATAACAGTAGGTTAGCTGGGCTATCGATCTTTCCTTCTCCATGATGACGTGATGGATGAAATACACACTTCAGATAACATTCTGCAGGCAGTAAGGAGGGTGGTGTCTCTTTGGGTAGGAGCTGAGTCAGGCACCAATGTAGAAGTGGGGTTTGTGGTAACTGACGGGGCTTCAAATAGAGTAAAAGCACTGCGTGATGGTAACCTTGTTGGTGTGCGCAGTGCAGTGCACATCATCCATCTTGTAGTCAAGTCAGCAATCCCAGAAGGAAATAATAGAGTTTTGAGTGTGTTTGAAAGTTGCAGGAGAAATGATGGGCACTTCAACAGCAGTGTGAAGGCTAGCTAACTGTTGAGGCAGGAACAAAAGAAGGCAGGTCTTCCCACACACGGTCTACAACAAGCTGTCAGTACACAATCCATTTTAGATTCATTCTCAAGCTGCATGCTTAGTGAGAGGAGGGAAAGTGTAGCTGCTGTTGATTTGATAGGGAAATGGATAGCTAGGTTAGTGTATACAGTGTCCACTACAGTCCTGAAGGACTCATCTGATCTCTGCTGTAAGGACAGCACCCCAAAAAGCCCTTTTTAGGGCTAGAACATCAGTCTGCTTATTTATTTTTCTGTGTAATGTAATTGCAGTTGTCTGCCAGCTTCTGTGTCAGGCTCACAGTGGATACTGTGCCCACTTGCCCAGTGCCACCACTCACTCACTGGTGTCACAATAGCTTGCATTTAATTTTTTTTTTTTACTATAATAGATTGAATAGCAGTTAGTTGTCTGCCAGCTTCTGTGTCAGGCTCACAGTGGATACTGTGCCCACTTGCCCAGTGCCACCACTCACTCACCGGTGTCACAATAGCTTGCATTTAAATAAAAAAAAATGTATTTCACTGTAATAGATTGAATAGCAGTTAGTTGTCTTCAAGCGTCTGTGTGTCAGGCCTACAACGTGTACTCTGCCAACCTTTGCCAGTTCAAAGTGCCACTCTTACCTGGTGTCACAATAGCTTGTCACAATAGCTTGCATTCAACAAAACACCCAACTCCTGGTGTCACAATAGCTTGCATTTAAAAACAAAAAACTTTTTTCGCTGTTATAGATTGAATAGCAGTTAGTTGTCTGCAAGCGTCTGTGTGTCAGGCTCACAGCGTATAGGGTGCCCACTTGCCCAGTGCCACCACTCACTCACTGGTGTCACAATAGCGTGCATTTAAAAACCCCAAAACTTTTTTCACTGTTATAGATTGAATAGCAGTTAGTTATCTCCAAGCGTCTGTGTGTCAGGCTCGCAGCGTATACTGTGCCCACTTGCCCAGAGCCACCACTCACTCACTGGTGTCACAATAGCTTGCATTTAAAAAAAAATTGTTTTCACTGTAATAGATTGAATAGCAGTTAGTTGTCTGCAAGCATCTGTGTGTCAGGCTCGCAGCATATACTGTGCCCACTTGCCCAGTGCCACCACTCACTCACTGGTGTCACAATAGCTTGCATTTAAAAAAAGTTGTTTTCACTGTAATAGATTGAATAGCAGTTAGTTGTCTCAAAGCGTCTGTGTGTCAGGCTCGCAGCGTATACTGTGCCCACTTGCCCAGTGCCACCACTCACTCACTGGTGTCACAATAGCTTGCATTTAAAAACCAAAAAACTTTTTTCACTGTTATAGATTGAATAGCAGTTAGTTGTCTCAAAGCGGGTGTGTCAACCCTACAGCGTGTACTCTACCAACCTCTGACACAGAATACACAATTAAAGAACATATCACGTGCCATAATAGCAATGTCATATTTATTACAATGCCCATGCAATAAACAATATATTGGGAGAACTACACGCCCACTATACAAAAGAATCCGGGAACACACACATATAACATACGCAAGGGAGTAATTAGTCATAGTGTCTCGGATCACTTTAGACAAGTGTACAACCAAGACGCTAAAGGCTTACAATTCTTCGGTATTAAACAGGTTTTTAAAGACTGAAGAGGTGGAGATTTTATCAAAAAAATCGTCAGGGAAGAAATTAAATAGGTGTACAATATGGATACTTTAACCCCGGCCGGTCTAAATATAGATTTTGATCTATTTAATTTCATGTGATTTAGCTGGTTTAATACAACTCCCCTCCAGATATCAATTTGCTGTTGAATATACATTGATTTTACATGTATTTTTATTAAGAATATGCACCTTTTAGTATGCTTTGAACATATGTATTTTTTTTTAGTAATTTAGGCGATATGCCCCTAATTGATTTTTAATTAGGGATGTGCTGCTGTGGGTTGATTTTATTCCATTTCATTTTATTTATTTTTTGACCTTGCAAACTGAAGAATAAAATGTATTTTAACTATTCTTTAACTTTGTATTCAATAAAAAGTTACCTGCTGCATAATAATTATCAATTTAGTGTTATAATTGTCATACCATTTATATTCTTATATGGTCAACCTTAAGAGATCTGGCTATTATTATCTGGGAATGGTGTATTTAATATTAGGACATTTTACCAAGTATATGTTGTAGAAAGATTATATAAACACATTAATATTATAACGGATTGTTTTTTAATGTGGGTACTTTAAGAGGACGGACATTGGGTTACCTTAGAGACATAAAACAGACACTGGTGGGAAGTCTCATTTATGCTTGATAAAGTCCTGAGAGGCGAGACGAAACGCGTAGCAACGGATTACATCACAAGCAGGAAGTACACTGCAACATGCTGACATCAGGTTTTGCCTGTCTGCTGGAGAGAGAGATACTGGAGGGGAGATAATAAGAGGACGCTCGGACCGATCAACCCATATTACCTAGGACTCTGCTTACCAGCTTCTACAACAGTGAGCTTTCCTTGCTGGTTTTATTTGCAAGTTTTAATTTACATTTGGCAATAAAGTGTTTTCTGCTTTTACCTTCCGGTTGGTGATGACTCCATGTAACCCGTAATAGGATCCAACGATCTCAAGGGTCTGATCCTCCCTATGCTGGATAGTTTGGAGTGGTACTATAACCACTCCACAACTGTGAGTTAAACACCTACAGAATGTGCTTATTAAAGGGACACTATAGTCACCTGAACAACTACAGCTTAATGCAGTTGTTCAGGTATGATCTATAGCTCCCTGCAGGCAATCTAATGTAAACACTGTATTTTCAGAGAAAATACAGTGTTACATTGATTGATAGGAATACCTCCAGTGGCCGTCACTCAGACGGCCACCAGAGGGACTTCCTATCATGTAGGGCCCTAAAAAGGCCTTGTACACGTCAGACGTATTAAAATACGTCCGACGTGTGCAAAAGAGGGAAGGCACTGTGCGCGCGCCTTCTCTCTCTTGCCTGTCAGCCGAGGAGAGAGGGTGGGCAAAGACCGCGAGCTGAGCTGTCAGTCAGCTCAGCTCGCGGCCGCGCACATGCGCGGTGGTGCGCTCAGGACTTTAGAGGTCCGGCATGAATGCCGCCCTCTGAAGTATGTGCGCATGTGCGGCTAAGCCGCGCATGCGCACAAGGGAGCAATGACGCTTCCAAATGAAAGCGTCTGATTGCCCCCTGCTCGCGCCCGCCTATTTCGTCATTTTGACTAAATAGGGGGCGCGGCTTCATGAAGCTCCCGGCGCTGGAACCAGGTGAGTAAAACGGGTTGGCTGGAGAGTCCCTTTAAGATTGGTATACAGACTGTATTGCACTAGGTTTCTTTTTTTATGTAGTTATAGATACCTGCATATTTTTTGTTCTTTTGTCACTTTATGTGGTTTGTGACACACGTGGTTTTAAAATAATAAGGTTATCCCACACTTAATTGTTTGGATAACTTGGGACGTAATTATATATTATCTAATTGATCTTTCAATTGTTTGCACACCTACACTTTTTTTGGTTTAAAAGGATGTCAGCAACGTTTAGACAGGTTAAAGTCATGACATCAGTGAGGGTAAGACTTCTATTATTTAGTTATGTGACCATATAATTTTATCCATAATAAAGGACCAGGTGCTTTTAGGCTGTCATTTCCAGACTGTGCATCCTTGAATGATGAATTTAATTGAGAGAAATGTTCAGTATTTTATTCATGGTAAGGCATTCAAGTTGAAACTAGAGATTGACATTTACTTTCATTTGCTGCTTGTACATCTTGATTGTTTCTGCTCAATTAGTTTTTAAAAAAAATCATTTTATTTTGATTACGGATTGCGAAAGAAATGTGCAAATTCATGTTTTGAATTTGAGAGGTTTTTACTCTTCGAATGGATGTTGTAAAGAGAAGCTGATTTTGAATCTGCTCACATTATTTGAATGTCTTTTATTTTTTTTATTTCTTGGGATTTGTAGAAGGTGATGATTGTAGCTTTCTGTTGCATGTATTTTGTGAAAAAGCTAAGAGGTTGAGCATCCCATTGGCTCATGAAAAGAAACGTTAAACTGACAATCTGTATGCAATTCTTGGGAATTGTTACGTGCTGGTTGCAAAGATGACAAAATTGTTAGATGAAAAATTATTAGACGAGATTTGAGTTAATGCTGTCGACTAGAAAGCAATTTCAGCCTTTAGCAAGTCCCTTGGCACCTGCAGGAAGGATCATGCTAAAAGACAGAATATTCAGAAGAAGGCTTTGGCCTATTTTGAAACTTAAGATGGCTTGAAATATGGGTTTACGAATGGCCTACGAATGGCATGGCTGTGATTGGCCAGTGCAGCATGTGACCCAGCCTCTATATAAGCTAGAGTGACGTAGCGCCGCATGTCACATGAGCGGTTATTAGTGTAGGGAGAGGATGCTGCAGGTGTGAGGGGCAGATTAGGAAATAATGCTGGTGTTAAATCTGCAAACTACAGCGATTATTTTTGTGGGTGCTATCCTACATTATTGTACCCTTCCCTGAGCCAAGTGTCACAGAGAAATAATCAGTCTGTTTGTTAATGTGCCAGGCACATTACTTTAATCCTGTTCTGGTAGCTCAGTGGGCAACATCTAGGCATTTTTAAATACTGCTGTGACATCGCAGTTTTAAAAACTCACTTTTTTTGGTGCTAAATAGTACATTTGGGGTGTGCACTTCATATCTGAGAGTCAAGTTACAATGTAGTTACAATGCCGTTTTAAAAATTCTAATTTTTTTGGTGCTAAAGAGTACATTTGGGGTGTGCACTTCATAGCTGGTGTATGTGTGCAACACTGGCTAGTTACCACTTCTCGAGAAAGTCTAAAGACAAATAAATGTTGCCTATGGTGCAGGTAGTATAGAAGGCAAGACTGACAAATCCTTCAGGTTGCATTTGCCTATTGACATGTTAATTATCTTAGACCATTAAAATTCAATAATCAATGAAAAAACACACTGTCATACAAAAATATGTATTATAGACAAGTTAAAAACAAGACTACAAGTCATGCTATAAAAAAATTAAACAAGTTTTAAAATATGTATGGGCCAACCAGTGGCTGGAAAAACAAAGTTTTACTGGTTACATTCATGACTACACACTCTAGTGAACAGGACCTTCATGTAGTGTGTTCTTTTTTTTTTTTTAAATCATACAGCATCCTTTCATGTGGTTTTTAGATGTCATATTGTTAATTACCAATTTTTGTTTAGCCTGATAAATAAGTGTTAGTGTGATCGCTTCATATACAGAAGCATTAATATACATTTCTATATTGTGTAAAGACACAACTACAAAGTTAAAAACCAAACACCAAAACAACGTGCCAGACAATCTACCTGTGCATGGCTCATGTGATACAATAAGTCTACATCTTAAAATACAGTAACCCACAGAAGATGGACGAGAATTTTTGGGGGCAATCGGAACTTTGATTGGAATTTACTACATCGGTCACTTGTAATATTGTTTCACACCTACAACACTTGTTAAACAGATCTAAGTGATAGAAAACAGACTGATATTTTCTATCACTAGAAACTACCAGATAACAAGCTGCTATATTTAAACCAGTTATCAATAGCTAAGAGGTACTTAAACAATATTGTAATTCTGGGGCAAGTCAAACTGAGAGGTCAGTTTATAGCAGGGGTTCTCAACCCAGTCCTCAGGACCCCTACCAGTCCAGGATTTGGGGATTACCTGGGTGTGTCTAAGGTGTTTAGAAAAAGGGAAGAAAAAAAAACCTTAGACTCTAAGGTGTTTTTTTTCTTTTTCTAAACATCTTAGACACACCCAGGTAATCCCTAATCCCTGGACTGGTAGGGGGTCCTTGAGGGCAAGGTTGAGAACCCCTGGTTTATAGGGAAAACTGTTTCCTGGATACAATTCTAAAACAATTTCCATATGTCCTTTGCAGACTTTACAAATAAAAATTTTCAGTGATTTTAAACATGTGAATAAAATGATATTTTAAGAAAGTGTATAAATATAAAAAAACAAGCTTAAAAAAATGAAAACCCCAACTCTGAAGCATGTTTGACAAGGTAAGTTGTCAAATCGCAAGCTGACTACTTACACTGGGAGGGCTCCAGGACAAACCTGGGACCATAATCTTTATCACTAATCTACAGTCTGTACCAATTATAGTGTTTGCCATTTCAGTAAGTTATTCTTAGTGAACGTTACATGCTGGAAAAACACAGGTGCCAACTGCTGTGGCTTTCTGCAGTGTGCAGACCGGAAAGGAAGGCAGGGTTGAGGAGTGGGGTGGAAGATGATGTGGAGGATGATCAGGTCCTAGACCCCACATGGAATCAAGGTCATGCAAGTGACGTGAGCAGTTTGGAGGAAGAGGCGGTGGTCGCACAGAGGCACCAGCACAGCATAAGAGGGAGCGGGGTGCAAAGGCGGGGCGTCGTCCCCTAGACAGTACGCCTGCTACTGCCCACCGCATCCAGGGACCGAGCACACCAAAGTCAGCTCCAAGGAGTTCCCTGGCATGGCAGTTCTTCACACAATGTGCTGACGACAAGACCCGAGTGGTTTGCACGCTGTGCAATCAGAGCCTGAAGCGAGGCATAAACGTTCTAAACCTGAGCACAACCTGCATGACCAGGCATCTACATGCAACGCACGAGCTGCAGTGGAGTAAGCACCTCAAAAACCAAGAAAGGTCTCAGGCTCCTCCTGCTTCCTCTTCTGCTGCTGTCTCGGCCTCTTACTCCACCCCGCAAACAGAAGATGTGGCAGCAACACCACCACGTCCGCCACCGTCCCCAAGCATATCCACACCATGGAAGTGTTCAGCTGTCCATTTCCCAAACACTGGAGAGAAAGAGGAAGTACCCCTCTACCCGCCCGCGATCCCTGGCCCTGAATGCCAGCATTTCAAAAATCCTGGCGTTTGAAACGCTGTCATTACGTCTGGTGGAGACGGACAGTTTTCAAAACATGATGGCGTTATTGGACTGCAAAAAATGCACCACAGGCCGCAAATGTTTCTTTTTTTTATATGTCCCATTTAAAAATAAATAAATAAATAACAATGTTGGCTACCTCCTCCTCCACCGCCGCTTCCACCTAAACCGCCACGGTCACCGCCTCTTCAACCTCCTACTCCACATCCACCTCCTCCTCCTAGTTCAAAATTATTTTTAATTTTTATGTATTTTTATGCTATTTTAAGTTATTTCCCTATCCACCTTTGTTTGCAGGGCACTTGTCCTACTCTTGCACCCATTTTACTTCCTTTTGCAGCCGTCTAGCCCTTTCCAGGACTTTTTTAGAGGCATTTCAGTGCCAGAAAGTTCGGGTCACCATTGACTTCAATGGGGTTCGGGGTCAAGTTCGAGCCCGAACCCTAACTTTTTGACGAAGTTCGGCCGAACCCGAACATCCAGGTGTCTGCTCAAGGAACAATCCTTGAATTATTTCCTATTGCTGACAAGTTTGTAGTCTGGAATTAAGTTAAAAATAAAACAAAGTGCTCATTTATTGACTTTATGAGAAGTCCAGACCTGGTTATACTGGGCCACTGGGCTTAGTCTCCCCCACTCTGAAGTGCCTGGTCACACGATGGGCGTTTTAAACCAGACGCATTGACTGCAGCCTACCTGGGAACGAAAGAGTGGTGGACGAACTCCCCGCAGGAGCAAATGGACATGGCTGGTGCTCTGAGTCCACTTCCCGTCGATGAGGGATATCCTGGCATGTACTCTTAGGCTTGCTAAATCAACCAATGGTGGAAACATGACCTTGCAGTTGTCACAGAAATGTGAGGCCTATCTCCCTGCATGTGCTAAGATGGTGGGCACAATGCTTACCTCCACCACACAAAACATGCTGGAGTCAACTATGGCATGGCTAAAAGACATCTTTTCAGTTCTCGCTGAAGTTGAACAAATGACAGGGCCAGATTGTGGAGAACATTCACCGTCATAAAGCTCTTCTCTCAACACAACCCAGAGGAAGCCTAGAAGAAAATCCCAACAACCCAATGCCCGTCCGGATTCCATACTGTCCATTGCCCATTACTGCAATCCCGGGTTGATTACCCCGATGTAATTCTCCCAACTCCAGGACTTGGGTCGCGATGCCAGGAGAATTTGAACCAGTGGGTGAGGCTAGCAGAGAGGACTGCTTTGGATAACGGGACCTTTGTCTTGCAGTGTGAAACAAATAATATGCATAGGTATAGGATGAATCGATGGGAGACGTGTCAGTGCATGTGCTGGGGGGGCGATGCTTTTGCTTAGTTATAATATGTGTGTGCAATCATTTATGTGCGTGTGTGGTCTGCTAGCTGGGGCTAGCAGTCCAGACACCAGTGGTTATTATGCCTTTTGCGTTTTCTCTTATTTTTCGGATATAGTGGTATAATGACAATTACCAAGTTAATACAGCAGCATATACAAAATGTCAACATGCTATTTTTCTATCTGTGTAATGCGTTGGCGTTTAATTGTAGTTAAGCTGATGAGTATATTATCTACCTTTTTTCAACATCTCACACTGCAAGTTGTTAGTCCTTTTTTTTCATGTGTCTTTATCACATTATGTCCAAGATATTTCACTAGACCGTTTATACATTCATTTACAAATTGAAATTAATCAATATAAAATATAGAGCTCAATTTAAAATTCTGGTTCTTGCTTTCAAATCACTACATAATGCTGCTCCCACCTATCTATCCTCCCTTATACACAAGTATGTCCCGTCTGCTGAAGACTTACGTCTATCTTCTGTCCGTACTACCACCTCTGATGTTCGCCTTCAAGATTTCTCGAGGGCTGCACCGTTCCTGTGGAACTCGCTTCCCTTCTCCGTTAGATGCACACCAAGTCTCCACTCCTTCAAAAAATCGTTAAAAACCCACTTCTTCATAAAAGCGTATCAATTAAACTGTTAATAGCTCCTGACTGATTCCTCTTCTGCAACTGTCACTAGTCTAATACGATCCTTACTTTTTTGTGTCATTTTACCCCACTCCCTCTAGCATGTAAAATCATTGAGCAGGGCCCTCAAAACCTCTGTTCCTGTGTGTCCAACTTGTCTGGTTACAACTACATGTCTGTTCGTCCACCCATTGTAAAGCGCTGCGGAATTTGACTGCGCTCTATAAATATCATAATAATAATAATAATAATAATAATATATTGCTAATCATTTAATTGTACAATGGTAAGTGATATCTCTGCGTAGGTTACCTTTCATGTTCCTCACTCATGTCAAGTTATACATTTCTGCTTAGCTTGTCACTTGTTACTGATCTATGGGTACTATCAATGAACTATATCATTCCACATCAAAAATAGAAAAATGTACAAAAACAAATTGTTTCATTGTGACAAGTGGGTTGTTCAGGTCATCAATGCTATGCATTCTAAACATGACTTGGAAATTAATTTGTTGCAAAATCTGGTTTTAACTTTGCCTGAAGTATAACATTTGGTTAAAAGCAATGCATATTGCAGGATAATAGTACAGCAGATGCTGTTTCTTGTTTTCAATTACAGATCCCAGATGTTGGTTGCAGATGCCTAAGAACAGTGTGGAGCTGCCAGAATGCCTATGACAATAGATTTGATATCATCCATGTTGATCTTGATGAGAGCTCTAGCAAAGAGTACACGGAATGCATATGTTATAGCTTGGAAATAATTCAATTTCCACAAGGAAGTAAGATAATTAATTTGAAGGAACTTTTTGACTTTTAATTTGTGGATAGTTTATTATATAAAGTTGTAGCAGGTTAGTTTACTGAAACAACTTTTTTTTTTTTCTTGCATATTCTATCATCATGTTGGCATGTGGCAAGTGGAAACATTTTAGAATTTAAAGTCAATCATGGGACTGGAAAATTTACCAATTAAAAATGCCAATACATATTGCCAGATAAAGCTCTAAAAAAAGGATCAAGGCAGAGTCAGCAAGCCTTCAATACAAATATATACAGACATTCTACATGCCAGACAGCCATCCTACAAGCCAGCCAGTTACCAAGAACACAAGCCAGCAAAGAGAATGCCACCTAGGAAATATAATGGACCCAATGGAGGGGGGGCAATGGCCAGCAGCCAGCAAATGGGAGAAGCAAATCAAATAATCAATAGTCTCCTTGAAAAGTCATGTGCAGCGCTTTATAGAGATATGGGAGGAATAGTGAATTTTAATGCTCTCCCAAGCTGCCCACAAATTGGGCATAACCATTAATTCTGTGAATGACCTAATTGGCCAACGAAGTTCACAAGGTCTTCACAAAAGGGATGATGATGCTGAATAGAATGTGCTCAGATGTTTATTCCTTGATATACACAATGTGATCACAACTGATGCTGTTCATAGGTTTTTCCATTCTCTTCAGTTTCTTCTGGTTATGCCTTTCTTCCCCCCCAAAATACATTGTTGCATTCTCCTCTGCATTATTTTGGGCATTATCCTCCCAGGCCTACCCCTGACAACCTGGGCTGCCTCGGTTTCTTTGTTTATTTCTCCCACTTGCATTTACAATTAAAGTTATATTTTTAATACCACTTCTGACTACTTTTTTCTTTATAATGGTTAAATGTTTAGAATATTTCTTGAAAAGATTTTAGTGATTGTTGCTGTTTGTGTTTTATAATTAATGAACCTCTCTTCTAATGTGTGATACCAGATTATGAGTGATGTTCAACATAATATATAAAATCCACGGTCCCGGTAGAAATCAAACTATATTAAAAGTTTTTTTTATGTCTACTTGTCTTTGTTGGATTAGTTGTTTGGAAAGTTATTCTTTAATCGGGCCTATACTCCTTCCTCCACTTGTTCACTCGCTTGTATACGTACACATCAACATCATGGTACAACAGTTATTTGCTCATGCGTGGAATTTGACCGGCATGGAAAAAACTCGTGGAGGTGCAGGGAGTCAATGGAGTCTCCTTACCCCAGCCAGCTTCGTCAGAGCTGGAGCTGCCCAGGCTTGCCACCCCTTCTTAAGAGGCTTAATGGCGAGGTCTCGCGAAAGCTGCGACAAGAGGGCATAGTTTGTGACAGTGACAATAGCTTCCTTAAGCATGATCTCAGGCGGATTGGTTCTTCCTGCTGGAAGGTTTCTGACCCTTGAGCAGCAGGAGGAATTCATATCAGCAAGTGCTGGAGTAGCAACTGTTTCCCTCTGCAACCTTACTCAGTCATTCACATTTAATGTAAACAAGTGCCCCTTTGATTGGCCAGCAGCCTCCACTATTCGTCCTGATGCAAATGGTAATATCATGTTCGACCTAGGATATTGGAGGGATTGCATGCATTGTGTTACATCTCGTTGGTACGCCGGCAACAATAAAGAAATGACAAACATTCCTGCCCCTGCAGCTCCAGAAGGGGCTCCACTGACAGGGCGGCCGGCATTCCATGCTGCTGCCCCACAACTTCCGGCAGCTCCTCCTGGTTGGGCTGTTGCAAATGTTATAAATCCTTGGGGGCCTAATGGATACATCAATCGTGACATAAGTGTCGCCACATCCCCAGTCATCAATGCTCGATATGCAGACGCTGATGATCCGGCGGTGCTGTGTCTTGTCCTTGTTTGTGCCTTACTCTCACCGCAAGGTGAAGCTCGTCGACGAGAGACTCGGACACTTGTCTGGCGGGGTATTAATCTTAGCGAGTGGAGGAAACATCACCCCCCAACGATTAAGACAGTTCCTCACTCAGATGTCAAGGGAGTTAATGGTAGAGGTAGATGTGAGTCGAGATGTCATTATTCGTGGGTGGGAGTTCCTAACTGTCCACTGGGAGCAGGGACAGCTCACGGGGGATTTTTCCAAGGAATGTTTGCAGCTCTTGGACAATCATTGAATCGGTTGTCGTTAAGGCTGGGAGTCATGTGATCAGACAGAATTTAAAATGCTTACCGGCATTACAACAACAATTCGTGCAATAAACTGATTCTGTGACTTCCCCTGGCATGACCTCAATCAAACAACTGGTCAGGTGTCAGGTAGAGATGAGATGGCTTCAGTTGCAGCTTACGGTGCCTACCTGAACCGTCCTGCTGTTCCTGCTCAGGGGGCGGCTGCGGCACCTGGAGGACACTGGCCAGGTTGGGAGTTCGGGTTTAGACAACAGAACCAGGGGATGATGAAGATCCCTGCATACCCCAATCTACTTTATGCTGCCATCCAACTTAACATTGATGCCGGTGGTAATCAGGCGATGCGCAACTACCAGGGGCTTGAAAACCGGACAATTGAAGCACGTGTAATCATAGAGAATTGGGTTCAAGCATACGTAAGGCAACGCAACAACCAGATAAATCAATTCCCGGCTGCCGCCACTACTGCTCCTGGGACTCCTCTGGACCAAATTCGTGCATGAAACATTTAAGTCCATCAATCCTACCTAACCTTCGTGAGACAAATATATGATCAAGATAAATGAGCACAAACCTTCCAATTCCTTTCACGTGCATGCCTTCTGATCTAACCACTGTAAGTATTTTTGGTGCTAAGACGCAGCCTTTGGGTCAGTTTAGTCAGGCAAATAGTTCTGCTGCTATGTCCAACTCACTACCTAGGAGGTGAAATTCTTGGTCTCATCTTATTTCCAAACCATTGGTGCAAGATTCTGGTCAATGAAAGGCACCAATAGCAGGCAGTGGTGCAGCAAGGCTCAGCACCACCAACCGTTTCTATGGGAAAGGGAGACCAGCACAGCTGTTTAAAGCTAATATTTCGGCTAGGTGTAGCGCAGTAAGTAAGAAGCCTGTTTTACTCCCCGCTTCTTCCTTTACAACAAGTAGCACCCTTTCTTCATTCGTCCATGAAGAAAGGGAAATAGAAGGTGCCATATAGAGCAAGTTTGGCACAACATTTAGCAGCAGTACTGTGAGTCATGTTCCCAAACAGACTCCTTCTTCTACATGGAGGCCGTTTTCTGATTCCCCTCCAAAGACCACTACCTTCACCATCACCAGTGCCGCATCTGCTACTTCCACTCGCACATCAGCTCCTCCTACCACCACCTCTATTTTAGTTAATCCTACATTTAGCAGCAGCAGGAGATCAATGGCAAAACCACAGGAATTGTTGCCACTGTCAATGCTACTCCCTTCTCCCAGCCCTTATAAACACCCTAAAAAGGAACTTAGAGAGCAGTTTGAAGTACTGAAAGTACTATCTCCTGCAGAATCAGCCAAAATAATTTCATATGTGCCAGAAACTACTGTGGTGACTGAGAGAACAAGTGCTACTCATCTAGAAGTGTCAGCATTGTCTGTTCTACCTGGAGGTGATATTAGTCTCACCCCAGCCTTGCAGGAATTGCATTAAGTCTGGTTCCCAAAGAGCTTGACCATAAACATTTTCCCATTCCTCTCCACTTTCTACAATAGTAACACCTGCTAGTCATACTTCAACCCGTGTGGACCACCACCAACCACCATTTTTTCAAAATCTGTGCAACTATTCCCACTGTCAGTTCCAGGTCCATTGCCAAACCTCACTTCACAGTTTGGAAGCTAGACATTGGTCCAGGCACTCAAAGAAAAAACAGGTTTATTGGAGCAGTATAAAAGCAACGTTTTGACCCTTTGACAACGTTTACATTTTGTTCCATCTAGCCCAGGAGATAATTTTAAAACACAACTGTTAAAATTTTCTTTTTAGATCCAGAAAACCAGGAGCCAAGCATTTTGGCCCAAGTCGAAAATAAGCTGATGGTGGGTGCACAGCCAGAGGCACAGTACACAGTTAATCTAGAGGTTTGTAAAAACAAAAGCGTCTGTCTATCTCCCAATACTTCTGTACAAACTTTTATTAATCTCTACAGGTCAAGAAATTGCTGTGACAATCACAAAGCATTAAACATTATTTTAAAGATAAACAGACTTTATCTGCATTATCACGGGAAACCTCATATCATTAATCAGGTGCCCCATATTAGTGAAGAGGGCGGCACTGGCATAGTGGGGAAGCCAGAGGGCCCCCTCTTCACTAATATGGGGCATGGCTCGTTCCAGGACATTACATTGTCCCGGAAGGAAGTTGCCCGGGACAGACCCACAAAATACGGTACTGTCCTGGGTGATCCGGAACACGTTGGCACCCTAGATTAGAGTGTGCCCAGGCCAATGATAATGACTAGCTCCCCCTAGATCCCTGCAATAAATAAGTGAATGACTCAATAAATTCTCTTTTGTGTAGTGAAATTTGAATTATCAATGTAGAAAAAAAGGATTAATCTGTTGCTAGGGAATGGTCATTCACTTTATTTTTTTTAGTAGTTTTACCTTTGTGTTGAAAGTTAGTCTATCAGAGAGGAGCTGGGGGAGGGGGGGCAAAGAGGGTAAGAGATACACACAAGGTGGCTGGTTGGGTAGACTAAAAAAAAGGGCTGGGGGGAGAGATCCTAAAAAAGATGCTATGGGGGAGTGACACAGTGGGTCTGGGGAAGGAGCGAATAGACACACACACAAAGGGGTTGGAGGAGAAACAGACACACAAAGTTGTCAATTTTTTTTGTGGGGAGGGATGGAGGGCAAGTAGCTGATCTCGGTTAGGGTGCAAAATAGTCTTGCACCGGCCCTGGTAGCAGGAGATGTAGGAAGCTATGTTGTAAAATTCATAGCATGTATGTCATAAAACTGGTGTGTCCAATAG